AGCTTTTCATAAAAAAAAAAAAAAAAAATAAAAAAAATCTTAAAATTTACAATCATCCTTTGTTGCTGTTTTTCATATAACAATTATTTCAAATATCTATACTGGAACAATTGTAGTTCCAATTTTGAAGACCAAACTAATAAAATCAAGATTTTTCATTTCACTTTGTACCACGTTATATGTAAAAAAAAAAAAAAAAAAGTATACTATTTGTACAAAGTGAAATTATAACAAATTTTAATAACACTGAAATGTGACTTAAAAATGTTCATTAGATGTGTTATTAGGGATAATTAGTCCATGGACAATTGAGACTCGACCTACATTAATAGTTTACAATACTCTGACAGATCTAGTAACAGATATTCAATTACATGTAGCCTAACAATCACAATGTCAACAGAACATGGGATTGAAATATAATCTTTACAATAAATATATATAAATAGATTGATCAACAAAGCAAGGCATGCGTATGTAAACAAATATCACAGAATAATCAACAGACATAAACCACTATTTGCTGGCATTTACTTTTCTATTGGAATAGTAATAGTAGACTTGTTCAGAAAAAAAAAAAAATGCTCCGGAAAAAAGATCCAGCATAATGTGTTATTTTGTTACAAAGTTATGTCTGATAAAAAGTTGATAACAGTAATGATATAGCTTTTTACCAGACATGGATATAAATTTGCTTTATAAGCTTTAAGAGTATAAAAGTTATGATAGAAACCTTTCTTCTTGTCAGCAAATCACATTGGTCCAGGTAAACTGCTATAACCTTTCTGCCTGATTTGGGTGTGTGCTTTTTTTCGCACAAGATCAGCCAACAGACCATTATATTGCTTTCAATATCAGTTAAATTTTCCTCAACCAATTATAGAACAATTATCAGCATTTCTGACTGGTATTTCAGGCTACAATTGACAGAAAAAAAAACCAATCTAGGTACATTGATCATCTTTACTGTATATATATGGTCACTTCTGGTGTTTGAATTAAAAAGCATTTCCACACATTTTTTTTGCTTAAGTTTTGATGCCTTCTTATGTGTGATATGCTTTAAATATATATTTTTGGAGTTTACCAGTAGATTCAGGTACCAGTGATAATTGAAGCATGGGCTACTGAGAGGTAAGTTTTTAATATAAAGACATTAACAGTTTAATAACGACAGAATCTATGACCCACATGATACTATATTGACAATAGACTAGCTAGCGCTGCTAAAACTTTTCTACAACATATACCATCATACACTTTTATCTTATACAAAAAATAGTATACACATCATTTTCTTAACAATCTAAGTACTACAAACATCTAGGTAATGGATGAAATTGTTCCTTGCTGCATTTTCATACAAAATAGCCCTGTTGAAAGGTGTGTGCTCACAACTTAATGACTCAGATATATACATTGCAGATGGGTCCAGTTTTCATAAAGTACGATAATTCTTCAAACAACAGAGTCAGGTGGCCATTCTGGTGAATAAAGTTGTGATATTTTTGTCTTTTGGTAATGCAGAGTTATCTGCTCTTATGAGCAGGTATTAATTGGTATGTCATTAGTTTGAGTGAGAAAATTATGTCGTTTTCTCATGACATTACACTCACAAACAAATGGCTAACAATCAAAACCTGCTGACAAGAGTAGATAACTGATCATTATGGAAAAACAGAATTAATAATTTTAGATGATAGTTTATATATAAAATATGAGCAATTAATCTGCAGTAGAAAAAGCTAACACAAAGAGGTGGAGGAGTCCAACGTAATACATGAATAATTAAACGTTTTTATTAATTGGGCACTTTTCTTTCCTCCTATTCCAACAGACTAAATAAATACCAGAATTGTCTGTAATGAATAATATTATCAATAGGGACGGACTGAGAATAAGCTGCTATGTATATATATATATCTCAAATATAAAGGTCAAATTTACTGTGTCTGGTGAAAATAATAAAATAATATAAAAGATGACTTAAACAATATGTCAAATTAAGTATTAGTGCTTTCATTTCTGAATCTTTATGATGCTTAACAAATTATATGATCTACGACATCATAACAAGCGTGATTAAGGGACATCATTATTGTACAGGATTTTGTACAGGGTTTTAGAATTAAATGTATAACTAAATAGTCTTACCTCAAATTATCAGAGTTGTAATATATCATCTCTTGTGTCAATATGTCGTCACTATAGAACTGTTATTCCTGACCTCACATTTGTTTCTATGTAAAAACATCTGAAGAAACAAAAGTGCTTATATTTCACAACTTGTGTGTTTTCCAGTCTTTTGATTATTTTTTGTATATATTTATAGAGCGATACAAAAACATATCATGTATATAGATGAATGCAGAAGATTTCTATAACAATGTCATAATTTACACTACCGACGACTTTTACATATAACTATGTGAAGGGAGGTAATCCAATATGACGGACGCAGAACTCGGGAATGATAACCCCAAGAATGGCATGTTCCTGCGTATAATGTGCACCCCCTTTTTGACACGACAGTGTTAGCTTGAAAAAGTGTGCACTATACGCAAAAATTTATGGTAATTCCGCTTAGTAAAAATAAACAGATATATATTAATATTTTCTACAATGTTCATTGAAAGCTCCATCCTAACTCTGAATTTTGGCTTCTGGTGCCAATACACCACCTTTCTATCTTTAACAATCTTACAATGTAGACTGCTGCTCAATACAAGTAAGAGGTTCATTTCGTTTATGAAATAAAATTACACAAAAATGTGATAAAATCATATCGTAAGATCATCTAGCTGATTTTTTTCTCACAACGTGCTTGCTATTAAAAAACAAAAGAACTTTTTTCATAATTATGTTAGAATTTCTGTTCTTTTGATCTACCCATTAAATAACTTGATGACAAAACTTTTCTCATGCAAGGAAATCTGTTTTGGAAAGATTCCTGACTATAAAAACAAAGATAAAAAATTTTGTCCATCACATTCTCACAGTATCTTTGGTTACAACAAGAGATAATCTATATATAATAAAACATTATACCATACTTTATCATACATTTTGTAAACATGAAAAACAATACTAAAAATAATAATAAAAAAAAATGTGTAAATATACTTCTAAATGAGAGACACGATACACGTTTAATTATTAAATATGATCAAGCCTAGAGATACTCTACACTTCCTACAAATTGATAGATCTCTAATTATGTTTAGCCAGGCTGTTTTGTGAGCTTCTTGATTTCTAAGGGTCTAGTTTGAGACCATGGCAGTAATGGGCATAGTTATAATTATTTCAATATACAATATTAATATATCAATCTAACAATGTAAATATGATATTTTCCAGAGAAGTGCAGTTAATATGTACAATGCAAATTAATTAGAATATTTACAATAATATCATTGTAATATATAAGCATTCAAAATGACAATACAAAATTTTGATAAAATTCTGGAATCAATAATAAACTTCAGACATGTTCAACCTCTGTACAAACTGATAACAAGTTTGTGTTAACATCAAATCTTTTTTGTTTTGTTGATCTGCAGGAAAACTGTGAATATCTGGAGGTAGTCTTTTTGAAAAGATTAGCAACCTTACAATACATTTCTGTATGGACACCTAACACTTTACTGTACACCCCTCTATGGACTGTGCACCCTATGCTTTAAGTATATATTTTGATATGATCACGATTCCATAGCAGTACAAATACATACTTGCTATTTAAGATCTTGTAACATATTGCAAACACCAAGAAAGCACTTTTCCTGCTCGGGATTCACAGAAAAGTCTTAATCAAACTTATGTTGAATTGATAAAAAACTGTGATGACATGAATTTTGTTTTTAAAAATTCATTTTGGTTTCAATGGTACAAACAAAATAATCAACATGACTTTTTTCCAGAAGATGTTTGGAAATTTCTAAAATTATTTGTCTTTTGAACAGTTGTACCCTTTCTGTAAAAAACAAAATTCTCTCAGCTTACCATCGAGATAAAAGAATATTGATAAATCAATTTATTTTCAAATCAAAACATTTATGTTTTTTTCCTTGCAAGAAATTGATTCCATTTTCACAAGTTTTACATCAAAAAAGATAAACTTGTCTCCAAAATGTAAAAAACAGATTATATAGATCGATGATAAAATTGAAATTCATGCCTTATTTCAGACCTACCAGTGTAAATATAACATTAAATTGTTTCAAATGAAAACCCTGTAAAATGACTATTTTAATAACATACTCTACATTAGTCCCAAATCATAAAACAGAAATCAAATTAAACTTTGTTATAATCTCAGCATATTTTTTTTCTGGACTCATTTTGACTAGATCATACAAATATTTTTGTATTTATATATACACATTTTTTTCAATCTATATCATACACTGTTTTTTATTTCAATGCACAATGATCTATTTCAATATACATAATTTTGTTATTTATTTTATTTTATTTTGAAATAAAAATTTGTTTAAAATACACACACAGAATTTTATTAAATACTTATTTTTGCATAAGTGATAGACAATGGCAGGAAATGGTTCAAATCTTACCATTTGGGCAACTGTACATTCAATCATAGCTTGATTAAACTGATATGTACAATGTTTTACACCTTAATTAAAAGCATTTAAGAACAATTAACTGAAGATTTCATAACCATAATGGGACAGGGAAGCACTTTATGATTCTCTTATCACCAATCATCTACTCCTTAATACATATGATGATACTAAGTCCATCACCATTACTGTACTAGTTAGATTAACGAAAAGTAGAAAGGCATCAACATATCTAACAGTCCTTAGTAATAGATTGGGTAACTGTTCATGATCACATATTTCCATTTACAAGCAGAATAATTTTACAAAGCATGAACATATCAATATAAAAAATTAAGGAAAATTGAACCAAGCAATATTCTCTCAAATACCAGGATGATGAGGGATTTTGTCTTTCCTGGTGAAACCATTGCAATGTGGACATTTCGTTCCATAAAATCATGTGTTTGAAATAAAAAGGTCATACTCTCTTCTCCTGACTCCTTTAAAACCATCCTAGAAGAAAAAAAGTGTTGTAAGAAAGATAAGATTGATACAATTGTATTACCAAACTATCAGAAGTACCATCATCTGTTCAATACTAAAAGTAAAAGATCTTATAGTACTACAGAAAAGTTCGTTTATAAACCACCAAGGGGACATAACTCACCAAGGGGACATAACTCAACACTGAAATATGTTTATAAAATCTGTTAAACAATGATGATGCAAAACTTTAAAATAACTTGACTTCACACGGGCAACTTTTCTATGATATAACATTTAAAACAGGGAAAAGAAATCAATACACTGGAATAGCATTAGTCTTGTGTATACAGATTTCAAAGAGTGAAATATTTAAGAACTACCACAATTTTCTGTCTGATATTGAAAGTTTAACTGGTAATACATACCTTTTTTGCTTTTCTTCTCTGTCTTGTCTTTTTCAGTGGTTGAACCTTCACCAATCAGGGCCAAACTCAGGGCCTTATAATCACCAGACACATCATCCTATAACAAATATGACAAGTCAGACTAGTGGCACAGACATGTACCCATTGCTTGTCTTAATAATCCAGCTTACCTGAATAATTATCATTTTGTAAAGGAATGATCAAAGCTGTCCAAATAAAACATTTTTGTAATGAAGATATTTTTTAGACTTGAATTTTGAACACTTTAAATGAGACTGTAATAAACTTTTTTACATGAACTCACAGCAATGAACATGCCGAGCGTTTGTTTGTAGGCCTGCTGGAAGGACTCCTTGATTTGGACCATGTCCACTTCACATCGTGACACAAGGATTCGACACAAACGGTCATCATCTGTCCCAAGACCTTTCATGGATTTGTATAACTCGTCTGCAAAGTGGGATGGCTTGCTTCGTATACAGCGAACTGAAAACAGCACAGGAAATAAACAATCAACTATATGGTACAAAGATCTTCAAACCATGGAGCTAAGTTATATAAATTTGTATATGCTTTATTATTCAATTGTTTTCTTCTATTTTTGTCTCAACACCTGCACAATATTTTGTAATGGAAAATTGAAAACCTATATCTTATTCATCAAGTTGAATGAATGACTTCCTGCTCAAATAAATAAAACACTGAAGCCTCATTACTGTCCAACTCTTATGTCCCAGTAGGAATAGTAGATGGTCTATAAAGTAAGGAAACCTTACCAACAGCCAGCATGCCCTTCAAAAGATCACCCGACATCTCGCTCTTCAGTGTGTCCTCAATATCTTTGTTGGCTAGTTTGGCATATTCCTGGAAAGTAGCACGGAGCTGTGCATAGGAGCGAGACACCAAAATCACATTGAAGCGGGATTCGTCTGTTCCCCATTTCTTCTCACCAGCTTCATGTAAGGCTTGAGCATCTTGCTTAGCTTTATTGCGGTCAAACTCTTTACTTTCATCACGGTTTGCCTGGAGGGAGCTGATCAATAAGCGTTTGAAGTTTCCAGATGTGTCGCCAGCGACATCTTTCTCCAGTTCCTTTCCATATTCTGGAAAAATATTACATGTTTTTTGTTAAACATTTATGTTTAATAGTTATATGAAAAATGTCACAATATAAATATGCCTAACTAAATCAAAAGATGTCAAAGAACAAAGAACAAAGAACGACGTGTCATCTTAGGTCATGTGTATAGTTTTTTTCCCTTTTTGATTTTTTATATTTTATTTTGTTTTTGAGGTACAGGGGGTTGGGATGGATGGGGGTTGGTTAGTTGCAGGGGGTATGATCTTATATATCATTTTCGGTGTGATCTCCTCAACAAGAATTATGTTATATTGTAAATTCAAGGTAGCCATTTTGCATTTGTAAAAGAAAAGCAAAATTATCTATAAAAAACATATAAACTATATTGGATGAAATATATTACTACTTACTAGCTGAACTGATTTGGTATTGATTAATCTTGATCATTAGTTTGTGAATGAGGACAGACATTTGACATGTGATACTCACTTGCTTTGTAAGCTTCCTTGAAGGCCAGAATCTGTGAATTAGACCGAGTACAGATAATCTCCACAAGCACCTGCTCATCTGTACCAAGACCCTGCAAAAAAAGGGAGATAACTCACTACATACCAATATCCTGATATAGGTGTACCCTGTAAATTTCATAGACAGCATGTATGATATACTTATAACAGCTAAACAATCAAAATTATGAAAACCTTCCATCAAATGAGCTACATTGAATAACATTTTGAAAGGAGAAAATTAAATAGTAGTTAGGTATCCTATACCATCCAATCCAATTTGTCCAGACTCTTTTTTTTTAAATCAAATATTTTTTTGTGTTGTAGTATCAAACCACTTTGTTTTCCCTAAATCCTTCTATCAGGTATTTCCTTCAATAACATGATTCAAAAATACTTTTTTAAAAACATTTTGTGAATTAAATCATATACCCACCTTGATAGCCTTATTCAGGTTCATAGCATCAAATTCTGGACTGGTCATACAGAGGCCATGACACAACACCTTTAGCCCACCACTGAGTTCACTGTCAAGTTCCTTAATCAAGTCCTTGAAAATGACAATGGTAGAATAGGATTCAAAATAACATTAAACATCATGTTGTTTTACAATGTGTTTATGTAAATGTCACCCCAGGAGGGACACAGTTATACAAGCTGCACACGAAAGTTTATGATCAATGTAGTAATAAAGACAGTGTGGACAATGCAAGCAAAGTTATGCTCTTGACAAGATATCTTTAACAAGAAATAACTCTAACTGAGGGGTCAAGGACCCCAGATTTGGTACACTGTACATTGTCCAAGTATAATCAATGTATCCACCAAGTTTCATTATCCTTGTTTATTTGCAAACCATTAAAAGTTGTGCTCTAGTCACAAAATTTTAACAAAGGACAATAACTCTGTAACAATTGGGTTGTAGATGCTGAATTAGGTACACTGAACATTGTCTTAGCATGATCAACGTATACAACAAGTTTCGTTACCCTTGTTTATATGCATGCAAAGTTATACTCCAGACACGAAACTTGAACAAAGGACAGTAACTCAAACTATACATAAAAGGCCTATATATACACACAGAATCATAATATTGGGTAGATATGGTGATTATGTTGGGAAATTTTGCAATTCTTGTCATGTACATCATCTGAAAATTAGAAAGAATCAATTTAGCTTTTCCTACCTTTCCAAACATAGTTTTAAATGTCTTTACAATCTCCATTCTTTGTTCATTGGACCTGAAACCCAGCACGTTGATAATAGCTTTTTCATCGGTACCTGCAACATAACAAAGAACAGTTAACACTACATTTTAAAAGTGATAAACTAGACACTTAATATATCAAAAATTGTAATTTGTATCCAATTGAAAAATTGCTGAAACTAAACACTTTTAGAATGATGTTGTTGTAATCATTAGCCTAGAAATATTCCTTAAATTGCTATAGTTAAGTTTTTATCCTTGATATACACTCAGCACTTACCAAACCCTTTCATAGCTTTCCTTAAAACTTCAGCATCATTTTCAGCATTAAAATTTTCTGCTGGCTTTAGTGTTGGATCTTCCTACATGAACAAAAAAAAATTAAGGTAACAAAATTAAGAATATTCTTCACAACAAGTAGTGAGTACAACATTAATGAAAGTTTAATAGTTAAACAATTTAAATTCTTAAGTTGGTGCTGAAATAAATTGGCACATTATCAAAGCATAACATTATTTATGAAACTTTGGAATTTAAAAAAAAATATATAGTTTCAGTCAGAAATATACAGAAAAATCTGTTCTTGTAGAAGTTTTTACAGACAAATCATGCAAATGTTCATCTTTCAAAATGCTTTTAAAAAATTGCAATATCAAAGTGTAAAGGACAACATACCTGAATGTTTTCTGACTCCATTCTCACTTGTTCATCTAGTTCTTCCTCTGTTTTGTACTTCACAGCTTCAACAAAGCCCTTGCCAGCTGTCAAATTAAAATCACAACATTAAGGTTATAACAAATGTACAGGTACACACATGAATTATCAAGAATTAAGTTTACACACTTTTTATTGAAAATTTTACAGTTTTACTTGAACGAATATGAAACCAGTGAAATAACTTAAAATGGAAACAATTTAAGGGAAATAACTTAGATTCCAATCATTGGTAGCATTTACACTTAAGGTCCCAGTGATTTGTCATATACTTCCTATGAGGAAGATTTCCAATGTTTTTTATTAACAATATACCTGGGTATGTATTATTTGATACATCTTAGCTACATAATATGGTTCCTGTTATAAGAACTGACCACTGGTCACTTACATTTGGTGGCCTTGTCTGGTGGTGGCCCTCCCATGACAAGAGACAGGATAACATCACGATAATCTGAGCTCAGGTCATCCTGTAAATCAACATCAGCAGATTCATGATTAATGAAACGTCTATATGATCAGAACAATATTTTATAACATCTGATCAAACATTGTGCTGTAGAGATATCAATGCACAGGAGTTTTATATCAATGTTATTCTTGAATTCTAAGTGTACAAAACATCAATTTCGATAGAAAATTACAAGATGATTTCTGACCAGAAGTGGACATTTCTATTTAGTTTACATGGATAGTAAGAAATTCCAAAATCAGTTTTTTATAGTCCATATGGATAGTCATTCAACAAAATCATATGCTGTATATAAGTAGTTAATACAGCTATATACTGCTGGATTGTCTCACTCACTTACAGCTATATACTGCTGGATTGTCTCAGTTACTTACAGCTATATACTGCTGGATTGTCTCACTCACTTACAGCTCTATACTGCTGGATTGTCTCACTCACTTACAGCTATATACTGCTGGATTGTCTCAGGTACTTACAGCAATATACTGCTGGATTGTCTCAGGTACTTTAGGCAATATACTGCTGGATTGTCTCAGTTACTTACAGCTATACACTGCTGGATTGTCTCAGTTACTTACAGCTATATACTGCTGGATTGTCTCAGGTACTTACAGCTATATACTGCTGGATTGCCTCAGGTACTTACAGCAATATACTGCTGGATTGTCTCAGGTACTTACAGCAATATACCGCTGGATTGTCTCACTCACTTACAGCTATATACTGCTGGATTGTCTCACTCACTTTCAGATATATACAGCTGGGATGTCTCATTTACTTACAGCTATATACTGCTGGATTGTCTCAGTCACTTACAGCTATAAACTGCTGGATTGTCTCACTCACTTACAGCTCTATACAGCTGGGATGTCTCAGTTACTTACAGCTATATACTGCTGGGTTGTCTCATTTACTTACAGCTATATACTGCTGGATTGTCACACTCACATACAACTATATACTGCTGGATTGTCTTAGTCACTTACAGCTATATACTGCTGGATTGTCTCACTCACTTACAGCTATATACTGCTGGATTGTCTCACTCACTTACAGCTATATACTGCTGGATTGTCTCACTCACTTACAGCTATATACTGCTGGATTGTCTCAGTTACTTACAGCTATATACTGCTGGATTGTCTCACTCACTTACAGCTATATACTGCTGGATTGTCTCACTCACTTACAGCTATATACTGCTGGATTGTCTCAGTTACTTACAGCTATATACTGCTGGATTGTCTCAGTTACTTACAGCTATATACTCCTGGATTGTCTCATTCACTTACAGCTATATACTGCTAGCATGTCTCAGTTACTTACAGCTATATACTGCTGGGATGTCTCAGTTACTTACAGCGATATACTGCTGAAGGGTTTGACTTGTCAGACTTTCAAATGCTTCTTTGATCTGGACCATATCAATCTCGCACCGACTGACGACCACCCGCACTAATGTATCATCATCAGTACCAATGCCCTTCATTGTTTTCTGCAGCTGCCTAGCGAAGTGGCCAGCTTTGTTCCTAACACATCGTACTGTCATTAACAAAAAAAACATAAATTAAATACATTTTGTATATCTCAAATTATAAATGGAAATAATTCATCTGGTAAGTTTTTCAATTCATCAAATTCAAGTAAAAAACAACTTTATATCATCAATCATATAACAGTATGCATCGTCTTGACCAAAAGAAGAAAAAAAAATACAAATTTTCAAAGGGGTTCAACATGATACTAAGTTTACATAATAAGTTTTAAAAAATTGATATAAATTTTTGGGGGTATGAAATGTTCAAACTTCTACCTGAGAGAGAAGAATTAAAAAAAAAAAAAAACAGAAAGTAAAAGGAAACTGCTATTTATTATAATTCATGATGTGATTTTTAGTTAACGATAAGTGAGAAAATATCCCACTGAGATACTGTTGAGAGTTCCAAGGTTATCAGTAATTATCACCTACCAATAGTTTTCATGCCACTGAGCAAATCTCCTGACATTTCACTCTTCAGCACTTCCTCAAAGTCCTTTTTAGATAACTTGTCATATTCATCGAAGGTGGCTCGGAGCTGTGGGTAGCTGCGGGATACCAGGATCACATTGAAGCGAGATTCGTCTGTCCCCCATTTCTTTTCACCTGCCTCATATAGTGCTTTGGCGTCCTGTTTAGCTTTGTTACGATCAACCTCTTTGCTCTCACTACGATTTGCCTGAACCTGTGACACCAGGAGGCGCTTCAGATTTCCTGATGTATCGCCGATGATGTCTTTTTCTAATTCTTTGTTATATTCTGGGCAGATAGGCAGATAGCAACACATTAAAGAATGAAATACGAAAAAGATGAATCTTGAAGTTAAGAAATTTTTGGACTGATGCATATATTTCCTTACATGGCTTATCTATAACATGAATACAGAGTATTGCTTAAGCAATGCATGTTTCCTATTGATCCCACAAACTAATACACTGTAATGTTCATAAACATGTAGTGATGTACTAATGTTTGGTGTTGATTTGGGAAAAAAGTATAAAACTAGTTTATAACTGATTTTAATGGAAAAATGCAAATATGGCAATCTGACAAAACAGATTAATTACCAATGTGTAATAATGTATTATGGTCATTTGGTCAGAATTCTGTAATGAACAAATCACTAGAGTGCTGATTTTCTGTAAATAGTAATGATGACCTTGACCTTGGATCAACAACTCTGTTCAAGATGTTTCCCTGCCTGTGTGAAGTTTGATGAGAATCCCTCAAGGGATGAAGCTGCCAGAGCACTGACAATTATTATCTAAAAATAGTAGCAGTTACCTTTACTCTAGAACCTTGAGACTTTAAATAAGCTAGAAATAAAACTATGCAAGTCTTCACTTTGTTTTTAAATACTTACTTGCTTTGTAGGTTTCTTTGATCATTTTGATTTGAGCGTTTGATCGTGTGCACAGGATTTCTATAAGGACATCTTCATCTGTTCCAAGACCCTGTGATATGAATCACATGTATATGAGTTAAAGTTGTTTCAAGGTAACAACAAAATTATATGAATTCAAATTTTATTTACACAATAACTCATTATTCTCAAACTTATCACATAACTGTCAGTCCCCTCTTCACCTGTTCAAGATTTCTCTAACAATTCTGAGCCTGTAATTTCTATTACACATATACCTCCTAGAATATGGCAGATCACAAGTTTACAGTAACAGTATGATATGCAGTCACTTTCAAGTTTTTAAACATCACACATGCAAATTATTATCTAAAGGAACATTACTGATAAATGTTGTTGTTAAAAATATCATTTACAAGAAGGAAATATTCCCCTGTTATATGGAAGAGAAATCTAAACTCACGGGGTCAGATTCTTTAATATCTCACCTTTCACAAGCTTCAAATTACGATCAACATTCTCCTGTTATACTCTGTTATACAACATTCATAGATTATGGTTTTACTTATCAACATTTACACACATCCTAAGATACAAAAATACCTTTTCACCCCAACTTCTTTATTTAAAAAAAGACTGTAGATCATAAAATTATAGCTAGGTCCTAAAAACATGGATTAACAACCTTATAAAGAGATTTAGTTTCAGAATATCTTCACTATAATTGTGTGTGAACTATGGAATCCTTACTTTGATGGCTTTGTGTAGTTGGTAGGCGTCATACTCTGCTGGGGCCATCAGCAAGGCTTTACATGTGTCCAGGTAATGACCACTTAATTCACTTTTTAATTCCTCTATTAAGTCCTGATAACCACAAAGAAATGTTTGATTACCTCTATCAACAACATAGTGGATGGAGTAAGAAACAAACTTCAAAATGTCATGTATCTTTTTTCAAGAATTGAAAACTTAGCAACTTGGCAATTTATACTCCATGATGCAATATCTATTGCGAAAGGGGCTTTGCATTAAAAATTACTCATAAGATTTTGTAAACGTAGAATGAAAAAAAAAATCAAAACATAAAATGTTGATATATGACATATGCCCAAAACCTGGTCTGATCCTTTCTAAACATAGACTTGTAAGGAATAGTATGTTACAGAGGGATAACATTTTTAACTTTATTTTAAAATCAATTTCATACAAAATAAGTCAAATTTGACTTGAAATATCTAATTCAAGGAATATTTACTTTTCCAAACATGGTTTTGAATGTTGTCCGAACTTCTTGTCGTTGTGGATTAGATCTATAAGCAAGCACATTTGTGATAGCCTCCTCATCAGTTCCTGAAAAACGACAAAAGGATATAAAATAACAAAAAATAAATTCTCAACTGAATTTATAAAGCATTATTACCCAATATTATTTTGAAAATCATTAATTTTGAAGAAATTAAGTTTTCTTTTCTCTTAAAGTATCAAATAAGTTTACATACCAAGAATATTGACAGAATATATTACAGGTATGTAGATATGTATATATTTCCAGACTGACTAAGCTGGGTCTTATCAAGTAAGTTGTTGTAATATAGATTGATTTATACCTTTCTGTAATAAAATGTGATTTCCATTTCCTGTAAACTTCCTGAACTATTTTCCATTTTGAATAAAAGATTTTTCCCAATAGGTTAATCCTTTCAATACTATGCGAGCGCCCCCCCCCCCTTTTTTTTTTTAAATACACCAAAACTTTCTTTGAAACAGACTTAGGTTGGTTCATAGAAGGCAGCTGTATTGCCTACCATACTCTGTACTTTGAGATATAGTACTTATCAAGTCCTTTCATTGTCTTCCTCAATACTTCTGTATTGCCTACCATACTCTGTACTTTGAAATATAGTACTTACCAAGTCCTTTCATTGTCTTCCTCAATACTTCTGTATTGCTTACCATACCCTGTACTTTGAGATATAGTACTTACCAAGTCCTTTCATTGTCTTCCTCAATACTTCTGTATTGCCTACCATACTCTGTACTTTGAAATATAGTACTTACCAAGTCCTTTCATTGTCTTCCTCAATACTTCTGTATTGCTTACCATACCCTGTACTTTGAGATATAGTACTTACCAAGTCCTTTCATTGTCTTCCTCAATACTTCTGTATTGCCTACCATACTCTGTACTTTGAGATATAGTACTTACCAAGTCCTTTCATTGTCTTCCTCAATACTTCTGTATTGCTTACCATACCCTGTACTTTGAGATACAGTACTTACCAAGTCCTTTCATTGTCTTCCTCAATACTTCTGTATTGCCTACCATACCCTGTACTTTGAAATATAGTACTTACCAAGTCCTTTCATTGTCTTCCTCAATCACCACTATCTGTATTGCTTACCATACCCTGTACTTTGAGATATAGTACTTACCAAGTCCTTTCATTGTCTTCCTCAATACTTCTGTATTGCCTACCATACCCTGTACTTTGAGATACAGTACTTACCAAGTCCTTTCATTGCTTTCCTCAATACTTCTGCATCTTGTTCCGCATTGAACTTATCATAAGGCTTCACTGTTCCTTCAGTCTAACACAAAGAAATGATAAATTAAGTGAAAAATATTACAATGTTTATTAATATACGGTAGACATATCAAAATTTTGACACCTCAAACATAAATAATTAGGTCATTTTTTAAAATTTTTTTTTAGATCCTCTAATGATCAATCCTAGGTCCCTTCATTATCAGACTAACACACTACCAACTGAGCTATTCTGGTAATGAAATAACTCAAACTTTCAAGTACATTCCATAAAAATAATATCACTGACACCTATATATAAAAAGATGTTGTGTTGGGACTTACTAGTTGAGTTGGAGAGTGGACTTATTAAAAGACTGGACAGAGTATTAGATAAATGTTGTAATTTTACTGAACATCAATAAATATGACGAATGGGGCTTTTATTTATTTTTAGGTTGGTGGCTACCTGTAAGTCTTCTGTCTCCATGGCAAAGAATGGATCAGATTTTTTAGGTGCTGGTGGAGGTTTTTCCTTTTCTTTCTCTTTTTTCTTTGGTTTGCCATTGTTTTTCTCTGTGGGTGGGGGTTTCTTCAAAGTCTCAATCTTGGGTTGCTTTCTCACAGAGCCACCTGGTAATCAGTGATAAGAAACATTTAACAATATTTCAATTTTCTATTTGTTACTTTCCTGATATCTTTGTGTTGAGATCTCAATATTTATATTATATATCAAAATGAGTGATGGGAAAGTTCAGAAACACAAAGTTTCATAAACAAAGAAATGTCAAAATCAATGATTTCACTCATTTCTTTCTATTAAATATCTCCAAAACTTAAGAAAATATAATTTGATAATATGATATAAGTTTCCTGATATTGACAAGTGCAATCCTTCTGTCAACAATATCGACAAAAAATGAATCATGTTTGTCCAATCACCACTAATCTCATTGTCTCACTGTCTGTCCAATCACCACTAATCTCATTGTCTCACTGTCTGTCCAATCACCATTAATCTCATTGTCTCACTGTCTGTCCAATCACCACTAATCTCATTGTCTCACTGTCTGTCCAATCACCACTAAATCTGATTGTCTCACTGTCTGTCCAATCACCACTAAATCTGATTGTCTCACTGTCTGTCCAATCACCACTAATCTCATTGTCTCACTGTCTGTCCAATCACCACTAATCTCATTGTCTCACTGTCTGTCCAATCACCACTAAATCTCATTGTCCCACTTTCCAATCATCACTAATCTGATGTCCCACTGTCAAGTCTCCTATAATCTGTTTGTCTCACTATCCAATCCCTACTTAACAGGTTGTTCAACTGTCCAGTCACAATTAATAAGTTTGTCCCATTGTCCAATTGCAACTAATCCAGTTGTCCCACTGTCCAGCCAATACTAATCTGTTTGTCCCACAGCTCTGTCCTTATTAATCTGTTTGTCCCACTGTCCAATTGTAATCTTGTTATCTTACTCTCCAGTCACAACTGATCTGGTTGTCCTACTATCCAGTCCTCGCCTATCTAGTGGCCCTACTACCTAGTCACCATTAATCATGTCTCACTGTCCAGTCAACACTCATCTGCTTATCCCACTCTCCAGTCACCACTAATTTGTTTGTCCCACTCTCCAGTCACCACTTATCTGGTTGTCCCACTCTCCAGTCACCACTAATTTGTTTGTCCCACTCTCAAGTCACCACTAATCTGGTTGTCCCACTCTCTAGTCACCACTAATCTAGTTGTCCCACTATCCAGTCACACTAATTTGGTTGTATCATTGTCCAGTCAACACTTATCTGGTTTTCCCACTCTCCAGTCACTACTAATCTGTTTGTCCAACTATCCAGTCAACACTAATTTGTTTGTCCCATTGACCAGTCAACACTTATCTGTTTGTCCCACTGTCCAGTCACCACTAATTTGGTTGTCCCACTGTCCAGTCAACACTTATCTGTTTGTCCCACTGTCCAGTCACCACTAATTTGGTTGTCCCACGGTTCAGTCACCACAACCTTGTTGTCCCACTATCCAGTCACCACTAATTTGGTTGTCCCACAGTCCAGTCACCACAACCTTGTTGTCCCACTGTCCAGCCACAATCAATCTAGTCAGGCTCCATTACAATAAATACTTCTACGTCACCTGTGTAGTTATTCTACAGCAGAGACCTTGACCAAAGCTTAAGTGAAATAGTGAAATACACAGGTGAAAACATCAAAGTTAAGGATCTTTGTTTTAGTATTATGTGAAAAAACTGTGGATTTTTTAAACAGGAAAAGATTTGAGGCTGTGAAAATTACTTTCATGCTTAATGTTTGCATTACCAGTCTGAAGTATGTTTTAAACAAAATACACAATATTACACAAACACAACTGTAATACACTTCTACAAAAATCTGTACTATTTACATGGACTGCTAAAGACTAGCCTCCACATTCAAACTTATTTACATCCTTATTATCATCCATATCTTACGTGTTTATCACTCTTTTTATACAGAAAAAACAGGAGATACAACACAGTAGTGTTAAAAAAGCAAACATTCAGTGCCAAGATGCTGTAGAGCAGACAGCAATGATATGAAGGATCATTTTTTCAATTATAAGATTCACACAACAAATAACACTAGGAATGCAAACACTCTTTGCTTCAGAATCTTATTGAGAGATCAAGAAAATACTTTGGGAAGAAAGACAAATAAGTGCTGAAGAAATATTAAAATGACTTCAATAGGACCATATTAATCTGCAGCATCATTTAACATAGAGAATTTAGTTAAAGCACTATCAACAGAGAAATCATATTATATTTTCATAAAAAAATTACTACATTGTAAATCAAAGTCTACCTACCTTCCATCAACATACAATCAACCTACATCTGACAATAGGCCCATGCCTTGTAATTAGCCGACATCTACAGCGTTTCAGTCAAAAAATCAGCATATACTCATTTCCCAATCCAACCCCTATTTCCATTTCTTTGAGTCAGAGATTAATTTGCTGGTTTTATTCCTGTCCTTTAGCCATTCAGATTTATGAAGTCACTATTGTTGAATTCTTAATGAAATTTTTCGCTAAAATATTGTCTTAGAAACTGATTATGAAGGTCTATTTCCATGTTTCGTTTATGAAATTCAAATAGTTTTGCTTTTGCCTTATCATTTTTTCATCTGTCTCACTATTGGTACATGTGTCATTATCCATTGTTTTTCTTATTCTGTCATTATAGACAAACACAAAAATATATTTGTTTCAGGAAGCATGACAATAATTTCAATTTGTTTTACTTATCTAATTGTCATGATACCATAAATGTACTTAACTTGGCACAATGAAATATTAACTTTTTGGTAGATCATTGTAATGAAGAATTTGTGTAACTACAATAATTGGTACAGAAAATGCAATTAGCACAATTATATTTCAGAGATATACTTTCACTGGAAAAAGCTCTTAAATAAGTCAGGATACCCAAAACAAGTACATTTCTTGTCTTATCTTAATTTTACCATTTAAATATTCAAACTAAATAATCATTACACTTATAATGGTTTACACTGGTTTTATTTAAAACAGACAAAATCTCCATTCATTTGCCATATAAAGCTTTATACACATATCATGTACAGTTCAGTGCCGTGTAAAAAGTAGATCTTGTAAATTAAGACAAGCAAATATCTATACTACTCTTCATTCTATTTACACTACTATATACATCTTACAAAATGTTAACCTCAAAACATTCCTTTTGTAAAATATTTTAGTTAAAATATAAATATAAAAGATATGGTAAATTCTAAGAGAGAACACATTTAACAATGCATTAATATTCATTATAAATGACACCTTTTACATTAATATATAATATTAAAAAAATATGAATATTATCTATTAAAATAACTTTATATCACTGTTACATTTATGAAGGTATTTACACAATATATATATTAACTATAACCCATTATACTGTAAAGATGTTTAAATTGGACTCAAATTTTATCAAAACAAAAAAAAGAGAAAAGAAAAACAACAAAATGCATTTATATTGGAAGTTGATGTCATGGATAAATCTAACTTCCAAAAAATCACTTGTACTAAATTCCATGTCAATTTGTATCCATAGAAAAATTGTTGACTAAGAGTAAAAGAAATCCCTCATGAAAATAAACAATTTTACAGTACAATGTATCTGACAAAAAACAAGACAGTTGCCTGCTGATAATTAAATAAAAGTTAAATTGACAATTATGTTACTACACCACTGTCACAGAGACGCTTATCAGACACAGAAAGGCACTTATAGCATTTATACACATCATAACCTGTCTGAATTGGAACATTTGTGATTAAGAAATTCCTAGAAAATGCAATCTTATATTGAATCCAACTACAGTTAACATGAAGTGTATACAACCAGCATAATAATACAGTGTTTGGTCAGTTTAAAAAGGTAATACTGCTACAGGTCCAAATGAGACAACAACAACAGTCCTGTTTACACATCTTACTTATTCATTAAGTACATTAAATATCATGTACACCAATAACTTTTACAATGAGTATTTGATCCTTCTTCAATAATACAGTATTTAATCAAGAAGTCCTATATAATGAGTAATGATTGCAGAACCTCCTACAATTGTTTGTGGTCTCTTTACAGAGATGGTCTATAAACAGGTGGTCTTTAAACAGAGGTGGTCAGTAAACAAAGGTTATCTTTCAACAAAGGTGGTCAGTAAACATAGGCAGTCTGTAAACATAGGTAGTCTGTAAACATAAATAGTCTGTAAACATAGGTAGTCTGTAAACATAAATAGTCTGTAAACATAGGTAGTCTGTAAACATAAATAGTCTGTAAACATAGTTAATCTGTAAACATAGGTAGTCTGTAAACATAGATAGTCTGTAAGCATAGGTAGTCTGTAAATGTAGGTGGTCTCTAAACATAGGTAGTCTGTAAACATAGGTGGTTTGTAAATATAGGTAGTTTGTAAATATATGTGATTTGTAAACATAGATATTCTGTAAACATAGGTAGTTTGTTAACATAGGTAGTCTGTAAATATAGATAGTCTGTAACCATAGGTAGTCTGTAAATAGAGGTGGTATGTAAACATAGATGGCCTTTAAATAGATGTGTCTGTAAACATAGGTGGTTCGTAAACAGAGGTGGTCTGTTAACTTAGTTGGTCTTTAAACAGAGGTGCATTTTAAATATAGATGCCCTTAAAACAGAGATGGTCCCTAAAAAAGTGATATTTCTTAACAGTATTGTACCATGGCAGATGTGTTTCTTACCAATGGTAGCCTTCACAAATGCTTAATATTACTAATTCTATATGTTATCCAACTTTCCATTTTTTTTCTCATATGTTATCTGAATTCAATTTCCTGCACTTTCTGTTGGCAGTTACGAGGTATTTGATAACCAACAATTTCTTTACAACAGAGATATAAAGTGTTAGTGCCAGAAGCTGGTAAATATAAGAACATGTACTGGAATACTGAATTTTCCTTGTAATTTTTATGCATGTTTACTAGGTAAGAGTCACTGTTGGATCTACCAACACATCCACTCAGGAATGCAATTATAATCTTCTATACCAGGAGTGTTGGATCTCCAATTATTGATTCAATAATGTCAGATGGAAAGGTACTCCAAATGTTTCTAATATCTTAATTTTTCTTTTTCCACATCAACATTATTACAATACAAAAAATATGCCAAAAATATGGACCAGTCCAACACATGGATATTGTCTTAAGACATATCTATAGCCTAATTCCTTTAAGTTTTAGCTATTTTCCCTATTACATTTGATGTTGTTGATGTTTTAGGTTGATTTGCCTGTTAGTAATAAACTGATGCAAGTCCTAAATTTTATTCTTTGATAACATGTCATTTCCAACAGGCGTGTTATTTTACCCAAAACACCTGCATGTGTTAGAAAAATAATCTATAATAGAAAAAAATTACTAAGTCAAAAATTCTGGATCAATCAATCTAAAGTATTGTAAATATTATACATATATGGCACATACAACGAAATACATCAGAAAACAGCACTTTACTGAGTAGTAAAATGTAGCTTAGGAGAAAAACATTTAATATCATTTACATTGTAGAGCCATTTTATAAACAACTTCTTCAGTTTATTCTTCTGTTGATCATTTTTCCCTTTCTAATCCATAGAATGAATCAACCATTTTTCACACATTTCAATTTTCATACTTCTCATAGTCATTACATCATCACATTAAGCGGTGTAGCAGTAACACCTTTATTTACAAATTGTTCTTTATTACAAATTCCACAATTGTTTTTACAAAGTCATAAAATAATCATTTTCACAGCCTTTAAATTTTCCTGTTTTAAAAAGTTGTGTGCTTTTCACAGTGTCAAAAGCAATTTGAATATAGCAATAAATTCACAAGGCCATCTTATTTCAGCACCAGTGAATAGTGAAATCCACATATCCTGATAGGTTAAAGTTTGTATTTACAAATGCAAGACAAAAGAAATTGAATATCAAATCTTACGTGGAATTCCGGGTTTTGCCATGACAACCGTAATTTTGTAGCCATCACCTTCATCTTCAAACTTGGCCTCCAGCATCTGTATAGCAATAATTTATACTTATCCAAACAAACAAGATCACCTCTGAAATTGTCGTTAAATGTAAATATAAACACAGAGGCCTGTATTAAAACAAGAGGCCCAATGGGAATGAATATCTCATCTGTTCTGCAGTTTAAAAAGAAGACTAGACAGTCTAGTCAGTTTTGGAAACTTAGAAGTCCATAATCCAAAACTTCTGCTTCATCAACACCATGGCCCTGGGCTTATTGCTTGACCTTTTTAACATATTTTACTCCTGTGATCTTGCAAGTAGGTCAAAGTCATATAATTGAATAAACATGGAAGTCCTTCTTCCTAGCATTTCATTGGCCCAATATTAGTACCCTGAGTCATAAAGTTGTTAAGAAGTGGTTAGAAGATTTTAACATGTTTGATCTCTGTGACTTCAAAAGAGGGCCATTGATTTAAACAAACTTTGTAGCCCTTCATTTAGAAAGCTACAGGTTTAATATCAGTACCCTGGGTCTCTTGGTTATTGAAAGGAAGTGGTTTGAAGATTTTAACACATTTGACACTGGATCTGATGACCATGAAACTGAGGAACCTGGATCCTATCAGTTATTGAGAAAAGGGTTTTAATGATTTTAATACATCTGATTCTTGTTACCTTAAAAATTGAGTCAAGATCATTCATTTTCACATACTTGGCAAACCTTCTTCCTAGTATGTTACAAGTCCAAAATCAGTATCTAAGGCCTTGGGTATTTAGAAGAAGTTCTTTAAAGTGAAAAGTTAATGCCATATACACATTCATCATAACATATATCCCAACACAGGTTAAGCTGGCATTACTGGCAAATATCGTATCCTCCATTCACTATAGGTAATAACGGTAGAATTAGGATGAATGTTTTAGCAATTCAAATCATACTTGTATGATTTTGTTAAACTTGTCTATTGTTATTAAATGTATAAATCTTCAAACCAGGTCAAAAGTGGAGGACAAATATACATACATTATAGGACAAAGAAAAAATGCTGACATACCTTCCCCATCTGTGGTTCAGAAACAGGAAGTCGAAAGTCTTTGTTGTTCTTAGCATACTCCAACATGTGTGCGTATATGTGCACAATGTTGTCTTTAAAATCGCCTGGAACACAAAACAATTAATTAAAAATTTTGGAAAAAAATTTTGGCATTCATAAATGCCAGTTTCAATTGAGTTACCTTTACTCAACTCAAATTACTCAACAAGACTAAGGTCCTATCTACTGTCTCCATGACATCTCAATCAAATATAACCTGAAAGTCATGTGACATTATTTGGTCATGACATTACGATTGGTCATATCACAGCAATAAGAAATTACATGACAAATATATTCTTTGTTGTTCACATAATACAAATGACTCTGTTTAAATTCTTTTTTTTCATTTAAGTTATGCTCCAAATATATCTTTACTACAGATTGACTCAAATGCTTTGAATAATGTAGTAAACCATAAAACGCAATGATTAATCACTGAAGATGACCCCAATATTTATCAGATAATGAGATCCTGTGCTGTAATAAGCCCACCCCTTAATTTTGAATCAGATGTAATGTTTGGCCCTCTGGGTTTATTGCAGGCTAAATATGGAGTGGTAGTGATTACGATGTTGATATTACCTTTACCAGGGCTGACAGAGTTCAGAGGGGGATCCTGATAAATGGGATACTCAATAGCAGGTTTGGGGGCTGGGGGCTCCACAGGTTTAGGGGGCTCCTGAGGGGGCTTTTTATTGCCAACCATTCTTTTGATATCACCAACAGTTACATATCTGCCATCTGGATTACAGGTCTGCAAAATGTGGAAAGGAAAAAAATTCACACATTGATAAACAGTATCAGTATACCAGTAATTCTGATGCATTTCTGTCCATATTTATGTTAAAATCATGTTTGAACATTGTGATATCTGAATGAGTATGCTGGTCTAACAGAGTTGATCATTTAAATATTATAATCATGGAAACACTTTGCACTGAACTTCATCAAAATCAAACAATCATCAAACATAAACAAAATCAACAAATGAATGAAGTCAAAAACAGCAACTAGTTGTCTCCCTTTTATCTTAACTTACATTAATCATGTTTTCAGTAAGGTACCCATACTGTGTTGGATAGAGGGTTGGGGGTACATTTGGCCCAACTCCTGGGATCTGTGTAGGAATAGCCCCTCCCCACACATTAATCTGGGTTCCAGCATAGTTTGTGGGATTGAAGGGACCATCTGGTATGGGTTGTGCTGCAAAAAATTAAAAAACAGTTCTGTTTGACTTTTCTTTTCATTGTTAAGTTTTTTGCTAGCTGGATATTACATTATCATGGTCACTGTTAGCATTATCTTTGATGAAATTTTACACGATTTACAACAAAATTCCATCCTTTCTTTGTAAGTCACTTATACTTACTATCTGATTTACTGATAAATATCATCAAATCCTTGACTGGCAGGGTTTACTGGATTAACAATATTCTGTACATTAGATTTTCAGTTATAGCAGGTATCTATCTGATGTTATGGATCATTTCAATTTTGAAATCCCATATCAACTGAATAATGGCTCCTGACGCCCAACTGTCCTAAACCCAGGACATGCTAGACCAATGTTCTTAAGTCCCCTGGCAACTGGGATAAGAAGTACCATGCTACTTATCATAGTAATGCAAACAAATAATTACATGTTTTAATTCGTTATTTTTGTGAGTGTTTGTGTGTGTGTGTGGCTTACATGAATATGGCCCATCAGATGCTGAACCAAGAGTATCAGACAGAATCGCTTCACTGGCCCATGCTTCTCTTGGAGGTTTTGTGAGAGATTTACGAAGAGGAGACTTTCCACGAACTGGTGATTTATTCTGAAACAAAATAAGATGACATATCAAAAAATGCAAAAAAAAAATATATATATATATATTTATGGAAAGTTTTTTAAACTCTGTATGTATTAAGTCTGTAGTTATAACGCTCCCCTACCCCATCCCCACATACCAGAATTAAAATATTCAGAATTAGAAGAAAATTAGGCTTAATCATAAATTGTGATTGATCTAAGTATTCATTGAGTATCAAAGGGACGTATACTTAATTTTCTTGGAGTACAAACAATCTGGTCTTGTGGAATTTAGTGTTTATAATATTACAAGTGTTAAAATGACTCATAAAAACTACTGGTAGGAGGAATCTTTCAGCAGTTCCTCACCTTTAATATGAACTGCAACTGCATGAATGAAACAATATTACAGATACCAAAGATCAGGTTTTGATTTAAATTTTTTATCAAAGTTGAATATGTATGTACTAGAAAATTAGGAATACCGGAAAGAGTAACAAATGAAATATGATGTATAGAAATTAGTGTTTTACTTTTCTATTAATTTTTTTCTTTGTTTTTGGTTTTATGGTTGAATCGCTGTCTTGGTCTGAAGTGTCAAAAAATCCAGAGTAGTCGTCTGTTGTAGTGCTGTCATCTTTCAGGTGCTGTGTAAGTCGACCAATATCCTCTACGTTAAACTGCTTGGTCATGACATCACTCTCTCGCAATCCATCTCTGTTCAAAAATAATATCATGTATCATGTGGTTCTATTTCTTGGCAATACTGCTCTTAGTATTATAAAGAAATACAGCAAAACAGCTGTTTTTTGTTGAATATATATACAATGCGCATTCAAAATACAAAATTATGAGAAAAAAAAAGGAGAGAAAGTTGTATTTCATTTGTAACTTCCAACCCTAGCCTATATAATATCTTGCATTACTTTCACATCTATTGCTATATCTGGTTATTGAAAGCTAATGAAATTATTTATGAAATATTTGCATTTAAAAGTATTTGTGTAACATAATTTGTGAAATGATGTGGACATACCTTGCCACCGCAATAGCCTTGATAGTCCTCTTGCCAGGCTTCAATGTAAAGGGACCAATGTATTTGAATGTTACCTCTCGTCCAGCAACTCTGCGCTGAAATGGGTTTGGCTTTGTGCCATCTGAGGTGAAAAAAATCTTACACTCTGTTGTTTCTGGAAAAACAAAAAAAAATTATAAATAAAGCATGAATTACATAGTTCTGTTTTGTTTAAACTTCTTATTTTGATGTTTATTTTTTCTATTAAATGTACAATTATAGTATTAATATACAACATCATCTTTACTGTATTTACCCTTCAATGTCCTAGGGGGCCACTAGATACATCATTTCCGGTTCAATGTCGGGGAATGGGCTTATTAGAGGGCAATGGAGTAGCATTGGTTCATGTTTTTACTGAACATCCACATGCATGCATATTATTTGTCAGTTTGTTAATCAATATTCATGAGTATTAAACCAGAATTTGTTTCAGAGATATGATTTTCATCTGCATATTTGAAGTACTCTTTGTTCAGAGATTTTTCTGATCTATATTTGGTAATGTTTGGAGGATTCCTTTGTCTATATTTAGAATAAGCTTTGTTCAATGTTTGAAGGATTTCCTGATCAATATTTGGAATTTCTTGATCTTTATGTGTATCATGCATATCTCTATGTTTGCAGGACTCCCTCAATTATATCTGGAATATTTTCCACCCAATGTTTGAGTGATCTTTGTAAAATCATTGGCCCTTCTTTAAGATTTGAACATTTGAATACTTATGCACCCATGATTTCACAAATCTTTAATTAATCAATTGATAAGGAAATAAAGGGAAAAAAACTGAAAAACAAATAAATATAATTCAAAATAATTCATGTTAGCTTTAAGCCAATATCATATCTATACTGCAATTACAAATAAACATGTAACACTAAAAGTAAACGGAGTCATCTTGTGTTAATATGATAGAAGGTACCCAGTTTAAATAACTCACCAGTGCATAACTCAATCAATGTTGATGTATCAATTTTATTTCCTGACAGGCCTGGTATAGCTTTCCGGAGTGGAGTTATAACAGGGGGACACACAGCCCCAGCGCTTGGCATGATTGTTTTTACCCTTCAATTGCCCTGAAAAAACAGAATTGTTTAAAACTCATCATCTGCATCTAGATTGATAAAGGACATGTTACACAAATCAAGCCGTTTTGTACTTTGTGGAATTTGAAGACCATATTTTTTATATAAAATTTCATATTATTGTTACTTATATCAACTAGAATCTGCCGTAACACAAAGTATAGTACATAGACGAGAAGCATTCCTGAGTCGACGATGAAAACTGCTGAGGAAACAAGTCTGAACTTCTTCATTCATAAACAGAGTTGTCGTTTCAAAACATTCCGAAGCTCCTTCACCATAAATATTCGTGTTTAATCTTCCATGACTACAACTTACCTGAAATAAGTCAAACGATGTGGAGAATATGATACTGTATCTCGTTATAATGATAATATTTGAAACTGTTTATGGTTGTTTGTGTCGTCAAGTCGCCATCTTTTTGCGCCTCACGCACCAAAGAGCGCCGAACACTTTGCGGAAATAGTTCAACCGGAAGTTCCTTTTACCATACTGGAAGAATTTGGCTCAGATCTCAAGTAAGCATGGGGCTCTTCAATCGATTAATATCACACATGTTAATGACCATCAACGTCAGATATTTAATTGTCATGCAAAATATTGTAATTTTGTCTACGTCTTGTTGTATAAAAGTGATATCCTGTGTGTAAAACATGATTGTGGCGAAGCTGGTTTGACATTCTATGCTCGAATACCGCCTTATATGTCGATTCTGTTGTATACGCTCACGTGAAACGATTGCAATCGCGACCTCCTGGTAGGATAGGAATATTTTCTATGTTTAAATGTTGTTGGAGATGATATAGTTTTAGATGGGCAACTGTTTTCCATTTTCAAGGTAACTATGTAAGCACCTGGCCCCAGAGAAATCTGTCGAATGTCAATATTAGGTTACGATTTATCATGTTTTTTTTTCAACGTCGCTCAGGAGGTATCTTGTATTTCGTTTAAATTTTGATGTTTAATTCTTTGACGAAAAATTCACCGTCGGTAGGGGTTGAACAACTTTTGGTTTAGAGTAGACGTGGAATAAAAAAAACGTTACAAATGATTGCATGCAAGTAAGATCTTGCAGTAAAGTTTCGACTGCTTTTGCTATGGGAAGTGCCTTTTGCCTATTTATTTTATTTTTGAAAGGGATCTTCTTTAACAGGCTTTCATCTGCTATCAGACCCTTTAGAGTATTGCGATGGCCAATTTGAAAGCTGTTGAATAATGATGCCAGTAGTAGAGTGGTTTGATGGCAGCTGAGTGCGTGTTCTGCACGAAATTTGTGATTTAGGTCAGAAATTTTAAACTCGTTGAAAGGCAACTTTATTTAGTTAGACCTTAACTGGTTAGGCAAGACATTTCTACAGCATCCCTTTTGATCAATTGGTTTTACTTTTAACGAGATTTTGTGCTGTTTAGAACAATGCCTGAAATGCATTTTTGGATATCTATAGCAATATCCAACAAATTATACTGGATGAGGTAGCCTCCAATTTCCATGTAAATTTACATTGTTCTTGACACTTTTTCTCCAGAAATGCCAACTGAAGCTGTAGAGAGACCAATTGAAGACCTGAAGCCCGATGAGGGCTCAGCTTCAGGCACTGAATCCGACAGCAGTGATTCAATGCCGGAGCTTGAAGAAGGGGATGCCGCACAGCAGAGCCAGGTATTGGATAAAAAAACATTTTTTTCACATCACTGAAAAATTATTTGAATTTGGTTCTGTTTAGATTAAGAGATATCGGATATTGTTAATGTATTTAATGCTGAATTTTTCTTTAATCCAATTATAGATTACTTCATGTCATATTTTTTGTAGCTTGCAGCAGCAGCAGGAATCACAGAAGAGCTCACGAGCAAAGCAAAACAAAGTCGCAGTGAAAAGAAGGCCAGAAAAGCTATGTCTAAACTTGGTAAGCTCTTATAGGGTATGAAAATGAGGCATTTTCTAAAACTACCTTACATTGATATTCCATACATGTTCAGATTTTTGTACATAAAGTATCAGATGGTGTTGTAGACCTCAGTCCAACACGGAAAACAATTATAGTAGTAGGAAATCTGTAACAATCCTTAATCAAGGAGTGGTAAAAATCAGATGGGCTTTTCAATGTAGCTAATCGATTACATTTTTGACTGACATTGTTTTCAATATTCATAGAAAGTGCATGCATTCTACATACATGGCAGAAGTACTTTTTTGTAACTTTAACCTCGGATACCTCAAGAATTAATATTATTGGTAATTGTTGTGTTTAACAAGACTTTTGTTATTGCTTAAACATGCACAAATATTAAGGTACTGATAACTGATCACGAAAAATTACAATTGATCATAGCATAGAATAAGATAGGTTTGATAATCGATTAAATCTTATCTTTGTCCCATCACATATGTTTGCAAGATACATGACTTAATTTGTTCAACCATGGGACCACTAGTAGAATATTACATGAAACATGATTCAGAAAGTAACATGATGACAAATAAGGAACAAACCATTTTTGTGCCTAAAGTTATCTCCCCTTGATTACAACAGAATATGAAATCGGAGCATAATTTTCATGCAAAAATGTTCCCAATGCCTGCAAAATTGTTTCATGTTGAGTATTTAACAGCCAGATGAGTTAATCTTTGCAATTTAGATAATTAAATGTAGCACATATAATAGTCGCCATGGAATTCTACTTTTCAAAAACTTGGCATCATCAATGTCATAGGCATTACATCTATATTAAGCCATGGAGCAGAAATTCTAAATTGACTTGCACATTTTCTGTATGCAGGATTTTTTACAATAGGTAAATTGTTTTCAAATCCAAAGTTAGATTTACACTTGAAATATGTGGATTATTTCCCGTCCAACATGAATTTGCATTTTGAGTCCATTTAGTTAATCATAAATAATTGCTTTAAGGTTACACTTCATGAATGACTTAAAACCTTGTAGTTTTCATATTAACACAGATTTAGTTTACATCTGCGCATTGCCTTGCCAACAAACGTACAGTGACTTCCTCTAGTCTATTCAGTCTTTATCATGCATATCAGTATCTATAAGTTGCAAATATATTTGTGTTATTTAAAGAAAAAAGCATGTTAGGTTGTTTGATTAGTGCAAAGAAAGCCAAATTGCAAGTCAGAATTTTTTTCATCCTAATTATTAAAGTTATTCTTTCAGAATGATATAGTTAATATTATAAAGTGCTTTTTATGATGAAAGGCTGTCCCCAGTCTTTGAATATATGGCAGTTGAGGTGCTGCACTGCTTTGTTTTCCTGTGATGTAAGTTGTTTCAGTTTATAAACTGTACTGAAATATATTGCCTTCGTCCATGTTACAGGTCTGAAGCAAGTACAGAGTGTCACGCGAGTAACAATAAGAAAGTCCAAAAACATTTTATTTGTAATCAACCGACCAGACGTATATAAAAGTCCTGCATCAGATACCTACATTGTGTTCGGTGAAGCAAAGGTAAGAATTTTTTTCATAACCCTGCCATGTTATCCAGGATGGGAGATAGCATCATCCTTGTTCATCTGTTCTATTCTGAACAAATCTCGTGCCATTTGATTCATACTTGCCCTTTATTATTCAAAGTTGGAAACCTTGTGTAAAGATGTCCCCTCTGTCAAGGTAAAAGTCACATTTGACAACTCTAATTATGTCCTTTGACATTAATTCAGAACCAATGCTGAATCTTAACAAACTCGGAATATTTGATTCATACTTACCATTAATAATATCTAGTTCTACACCTTATGTTACATTGGGTCATCAATTAGGATCGTGTTACATTTTATAATTTTTGCAAATTTATCAGACTGATACTTGTATGCATGGGCTTTTGGGCATTCATGTCCTTCAGACAGTCTGAGTTTTAGAGTGTTACCTATTACAGAACCAAATTTAAAGTGAACAATAATAATGTTTTCTACATGAGCAAACAATTACTATTTTTTTATTTGGCAAAACATCTGCCATTTGTTGGCATCTGATTGGCTAATATGTTATAGTGAAATCTGGAATGTAGTTGACGTATGAAATGGTATCTTTGTACCTCCGGGTTTCCTTCCAATCTCAAGTTAGTGTATGCCAGTCTGATCACAGACCATATGTTGAAGTTCTTTAATAAGCATCATTCACAACTGAGGGAGGGCAGTTTGGGGGCCTTATGCAACTGGTTCTGTAACAATTAATATCATATAATTGGTAACACATTATTTAATCCTTAATTTTTGTATGTCAAAATTTTTACAAAGTGGAATAGAAATCATGGAAGTGGAAAGTCTTAATAGTGCAAGTCCTAATAAGCTATCATAATTATTTAAGATTGAAGATCTGAGTCAACAAGCCCAGATGCAGGCTGCAGAGAAATTCAAGACTCCTGAGAACCCCATGAGTCTGGGCGGAGACAGTCCAAGCACCATAGCCGAGCCAATCCAGGAGGAATCCGAAGAAGAGGGCGAGGTATACTTTTATTCCTCAGTGTCAGGGTGGCGCAATATAAGCATTATTCTGAAGAGTTGGGAAAATATAAATAATAAATCTGCACTTCATGTTTTTTTTTTCAAATAGAGGTGCAAAAAAAGGTTGTGCTTTTGCGAGGTCAAATACTACTACAAAAATCACTACCTAGAATGTGATAAATTTCTTATAGATGTTTGAAATAAGGTAGATACAAACCAGTTGTGTCTTTTGGTTTTTCAGGTTGATGAGAGCGGTGTGGAAGCTAAGGATATTGAACTTGTTATGTCCCAAGCCAATGTATCAAGATCTAAAGCTGTCAAAGCGCTTAAAAATAATAGTAACGACATCGTCAATGCTATCATGGTAAGGTTTGCCCATCGTATAGTCAACACAATCACATATTCATTTATTTTCAGGTAAATGTGTTAATGCTTTTGATCAAATAAGTAATGAGAAACTTAATTTTCATTGTCAAAGCTGTTCCTATAGAATCATAGTATTGATTTGTCAGCAAGATTTGTGCTACTGTCTGAAATCGTACGAGGATATACTTCAGATGTACGCACAAGTGATATACTTGCAAAGATATCTTTGTAACTCAAATGTTTTCAAAATTAATTTCAAAGGAACATAAAGCATTTTAAAATTTGGCATGCATTCTTAATTGTAACAAAATGGTTCACACAGAAATCAAAAAGTGCTTCAAAATTGAATTTGTAAATCAAAAGTGCTTGAATTTCAAAATAACCTTAATTCTGCTTGAAAATTGCTTGAAAAACATGGAAGTCAATCAATATGAATCATGAACAAGGAATTTTGTTACTCCTCTTGGTATAAGTTGTTGTTTTCTGTCTTTACAGGAATTGACGATGTAACCTTTGCTGCCTCGATGTCCCCAATGTTTATAGCTTCACACCCCATTGTGCTTGACAGACTCTTTCTTTCATTGTGATATTTATATGTATAAGCCTAATAAAGGCATAAAACATTTTTCTACAATACATTGTTTTTACTTCACACTGTAGCTACTACTCCACTATAGGTTCTCAAGTGCTGTGTATAAAACATGGATAGTTACATCCACCACTTTATAGCAAGATAATGTGTAGAAGAGTTATTTGTAATCCAGAGATTCTAAAGGTGGTTGTCTCTGTGTTGACATTTCCAAGATCAAGTGATCAAGTTGGAAGTTTTGAAGATGGTGGTTAAATACTTAACAGGAATTACCCTTTGATTTATTGACAGTAAATGATCTATGCATTATGCTCGAACCAAAGCATTCCTCTGTGTTTAGTTGAGGTCGTAAATTGCACCGGGTACAAATACCTTGATTTCAGTAATTATAACAATCACCATCAGAATACTATACTTAAGAGTTTTCAAAGTTCTTCCTTTTTGTTTATGATAGCTAAACTACTCTACGGTGGAAGTATTTGACAAAAATCAATAATTAATCGTCGGCTCTTGCGATTAGCTACTTAAAAATTGGGTGCATAATACGCCAAATTAACAGTTTGTGTAAATTTATTGACATATATTTACTGTCGAACCTGTATATAAAGAACGCTCATGGGGAAATAAAGAAAAAAACTGGTCTTGATAGACAGGTGGTCTTTATAAGAAGGTTTAAATGAACATCCAAAATTCTTGAATCAAAGGGAGATAATCAATTTGCACCAATCCTGTGTGAAGATAATGGCAGTATTCCTGATTCATCATAAAATTATAATTACAAGCTGTTATTAATTTGTGTAAAAAAAAATCATTTTAATTTTTGATATTTCATTTTCAAAGAATTACATATTTATATCGGCACTAAATAAAAATACAATGTAAGAGAAGAATTGCTATCAAACCATACAAAACATGTCTCATTTTCTTTGTGTTGATAATCATAGTAATTACACTTTTCTCAAGAAAAGGTCATTGAGCTGAAGATAAGTGTCAATGAGGTCAATTTTATTGCATGTATCTTTTTAAAGTCGAAACCATGAAGTTAATTGCCTTTTACTCATCTGTACTTGTAAACAAAGCCTACCTGTGACACTACACGACCGTCGTATACATAAGACAGTCATGGAACACGGCATTGTTGACACAGGTGTAATTAGCGTGGTTTACAATGTGGTGGGTTTCGAGACCCTCTCGCTGTTATCCTCGGTGTTTGCTCTTGTAACACTATATGGACCCAATACTGATCAACCTACTTTCTGTGACGAACTTTTAAATATTACTGAAGACTTTGGAAATTCGAGTTTTATTCTGTGGTGACTTTAATATGATTCTTGATCCAAATTTAGACTGATTATTACAATAACAAATTCTTGATCCAAATTTAGACTATGATTATTACAATAACAAATTCTTGATCCAAATTTAGACTATGATTATTACAATAACATAAATAATCCAAATGCTAGAAATAAGGTCTTGGATCTAAAAGAGGATTTCTGATTAATAGATACATTTAGAGATCTTCACCCTAACAATAAACGATACAAATGGCACAAGAAAACTCCACGTAAGCAGGCAAGACTTGACTATTGATTTCAGACAGTTTATTACCTAGTTTATTATCGTCACCCATCGAACCAAGGTATCGATCAGACCATTCTTTTTCAGAAATACAGTTAAAATTCGACAACTTTACACGAGGTTGTGGTTTATTGAAATTTAATAATTCGCTTCTATTTGACCCAGAGTACTTAGATCTTATTAAATAAACAATAAATGACATAAAGCGACAATATTTTATCCCAGTTTACAATATAGATAACTTAAATGATATTCCTCTTGACGAGATTACCTTTGCATCAATGACCAGTTATTTTTAGAAACACTTATGATGGAACTCAGGGGTAAAACTATTTCTTTTTCAATTTATAAGAAAAGAAAGTCTAATGAAAGAGAGAGAATTTTAATAATTGAATTTAGGAACTTAGAGAAAACAGGGCCTGATGCCATTTTTTTTAATGAACTTGGGGACAAAAAAGACAATTAGAAGAAATAAGAAAACACAAAATTTAAGGCAATATTGATACGCTCTCGGACAAAATGAAACATGTCTTCAATAGGGTTTGGTATAATAATGGGATTCATACTATTAATGACTTAGCTAAAGAGGATAAAACATTTTATAGTCTTGAAGAATTAAGAGAAAAATATAATATTCATACTAATTTCTTAACTTATCAAAGTATTAAAAGAGCTGTCTATCATTTTATCTTGAGGAACCAAAATGTATTCGACTTAGAAAAAAGAACTGTTTTACCTAGTATTCTCATTAACTTAAAACTTATTTTTAAAGACAAAAAGGGAGCTCAAGAAATTTACAAAACAATTAGTAAAAATTCTGCTAAACCAAAATCTGAAAGAAAATGGAACACTTCATTAAATTGGAGAGAAGATACATGGAACATTTATTTAGCTCCTTTTAACACAACATCCAACTCCAAACTTCATTGGTTGCAGTATAGAATTAATCATAGAAACCTTGTTACAAATACATTCTTATTCAAAATTGGAAAAACTGACAATAACCTATTTTTTTTTTCAAACTTCATCCAGAAACTATTATCCATATATTATGGGACTGTCATCTGGTGTCATACTAATTGATTATTTAAGAATTAACATTATAGCTAAAAATCTTGGTCTAAGATTTGACAAAAAAAAATTAATTTTAGGTAAAACTGTAAATAAACAATAAATTTGACATTGATAACCTGATACTACTTATTATAAAACATTACATATACAAGTCCAGATGTTTTGAACAACAACTTAATTTTAATAGTGTTAAAAGTCACATTTAAGTTGAGTTAAAAGCACACCAAATTCTTTTATCTAAATGTAAATTTAAAGATAAAGCTCAATTAAGTGCACAAATTCAACAGTGGTAAGATTTTTAAAGTTAATAGTTAGTATTCGAGTGATTTACTTTTGTCTAATATTTATTCTATTACTCTACCTTGGTACAAAAGTATGCCTTTGTCTTTTAACACATGTATTCACTATATATTATATCTTCTTTACATTATCAGAACCTAGACTTATTTTGTCTATTGTACCTGTTGGTGTAATTAGTGTGCTTTTTTTTGTCGTACAATGTGTTCTTCTCCATTAGTTCCATGTCTTATTTAAATGTGTTTTGTTGTGAAAATGAATAAGATGTAAATTTTAAAAAAAATGCTAATAAAATGAGTACTAACTTGAAACTTGTATGTGCTTTTTTCCCCCAATTGTTATTTGGAACTATGTTTTTTGCTTTGAATTTAAAAGGCTTTATCAAATATTGCTGGATTACCTCTATTCCCATGATTACCGTGCGTACAGTTCATCCATGGAGACTGCAAATCGACCTTGCATTCCTTTTGAAAATCCATCCACTAACCTGACCTTGACCTGTTGCAAATGGAGTGGAATGGCTGTCACGTGTTTGTAATAAAGAGCTCCATTCCCTAATTAACAGATAGATCTCTTTGCTATCATCAACTTTCATTCCATGTGGTCATTGTTTTCTTACAATTCCATTTAATTTTGCATTTTATGTTTTTAAAACACGTGAAATCTATGAAACAACTCTTAATTTCTTGTGCAATGAAAAATAAAGGTCTCACCCACAGGACAAGATTTTTTAGAATCAACACGACTCAACAAAGAGGATTTACTACATGATGTTAAATCGTAACCGTTCTACTCAATTTCCTACTCTTAAACTATCCCATTCTCCTTTGTATGTGCATGTGAATTCAGCACATTAAGTGGTCTTCAGTATGATCTAAATTGGCTATGTTTAAAACTTTTCAAAACATTTTTTTCAGCATTGTGCGTTTTTTATTTATGAATTTCATTCTGATTAATCGAAACGTATTTCGAGCTTGATCTATTTCATTTTTTTTGAATTTCCCAAAGTATCAAACCTGTTTAAATTTTAGTGAACTCAGTCCATCTGTTTGTGGAGTTCATTGGATTTCACCCTTTCATATATTGATGACGTCCTGTCTTTAAATAAAAAGAAAATGATTGACTACGTCCGTATATATCCGCCAGAACTGGAAATCAAAGATACAACAGACTTTCTATATCAGCCGCTTATCTCGATTTTTTCATACAACTATTTCAATTTCCCTATTGAGAATTTTCCATTTCTAGATAGCAATATCCTTACATCTCCTACCTATGATATTTACATGTCACACTTGATTCGATGCTCAAGGCCCTGTTCCCATTATCATGATTTCCGTACACGGAGTCGTCAACTGATGCAAGTTGATGAAAATTATTAGAAAGTTTTTTGGTCGCCATAGTGATTTCATTGAGAAATCTTTTTCCTTATCCAACACGAAGCTGGACACTTTTGATGCTAGTTGGTTTACGTGTTGGTTCCGCTGTTGTATACCTTGTTCTAATTTGAGAGCTTGACATTACTTACTTTGATTGGCCATGGTTTACATAGCGGGTGTCGTCGATAAGGCAGAAAATGCTTACTATTCCACAACAACTGTTCTTATTCTTTATGTAATTTTTCAGGAGTCACTGTGTAAATCTTTCTTTTGATCATATTTTGCCCTAGTTTATGGAATTAGAGTTTGAATTACGATTATGTTGCCATGTTGGTATTTCAACTGATTAACAGATGGGCTGACCGAAGCACGGAATCAGGATCAGTCAGGGTAGCATGGGGAGATGGAGGGCTACCAATTTTTGTTTTCAATTAATTACCTTCACGGACTTTCAAGATTACACGAGTCCAACGTGTTATAATCTTCGAACGACTTCTCAATAACCAAAAGGCCGAGTTGTCTGAAATTGAGTCTGTTGCATGGTAGGTTGACGTGCTACCACGTGTGTAAAAACCATCATCTAAACAACTCTGGAGAACACTTGGTACCTGGAGATTAACCGTAAACAGACGGAAACCATAATCTAAATGAGATTCTTTTGGAAAGTTTACCGAGACTTCGCTTGATTCATTATAATCGTTAGAG